ATATATGTATTTTTACCCACAAAATACAAGGGATAATGATATATATATATAGTTCTCACCCAATAGATATTATTAATGGCAATCAAAATGTTTATCATAACTTATTAAAACTCTAATCAAACTCTTGTAATACAGGATGTATACAATAACTTAACTTAACTGGGGGCCACCAGCTTAATTGTATGGGGTAAATTTGTATTTGCTTAATCCAAATGAAAATATAGTCATCCCCAGAAAAGGACGGATGGTTCATTTTTATTTGGATTATTTAAGAGTGTAATTGAAAATGGGACGACCAAAAATGGTTGGAGTACCCTATCTTCAAACAAACCCACCTTGGTTTAAGGGATCACCTTCACAAATTCAAAATAATCCTGGTAGATTCCCGAAATGGGGAATTAACGCATGGTTAACTGGTAAAAATTACTGTCACAATCAAACTGATAGCACTGAAAACAGCTAATTGTGAACTGGTGGTTTGGTTGGTGGTTTGGCACCTCAGGATTTCCTGATGACAGTGATTGTCATTGGGGAATACCCCGGGGAATCCAAACCACCAACCGCAACCACCAATTAGTCCTTGGCTGGATAAAAACTCGAATAACTAACAGTATAATATACCCCAAACAAATCAACAGGCAATTGATTATCGAATAAGTAGAGATTTGTGTTTCTATCTTTCCGGGAAGATTATTGTGATAAGAAGATGTGAAGAATGTGACCATTAACACCAAATAAAAAGCGCGATCATAATGATACTGGCACGGCATTTGTTATGATTATATTATATCTGATTATGATTAATGATAAACACCTGCAAAAGATATCCCAATGATAAACACATATAATTAATCACTTTAAATAGAATTAGACGTGATCATTCCAGGGGTTATTGATGGCTATTGTATATGTATTCTTGCATGTTGTATACAATAAATAATATATATATATACATATACATATACAGAGACATACATATTAATAAACATATTAAATAATAGAATCCAAACCCAACAGTGACTGAGCACAATTTACCGATCATGGCAGGCAGTTGGTTGATTCGTCATTCGTCAAAAACTGTGAAGCACCTTGAGGTTCATCTTTGGATCAAAGTCCATTTGCGAAACTTAAGAACCTGTCTTCAAATGGGGTTCCGGGTTCCAAGTTCCAAAGCCACAAACCGAGCAACATATTAGTTGAAGAGACATAAAGAGACCACGTGAATCTGATGTCGAGCTGCAACTGGTTTGAAGACAACAAGATGGACATCCCTCCAAAAAAAGGGACCATCCAAACTGGCCAAGGCCAAATGGTTTCACACCGTGTTTTTTTTCGACCATTTTGGGATGATACTGCAGCAGAATCAGCAGAACTGGCCAAAAACCAAGAATCTGGTAGGTATCGCACATGCCGCTGATGCGGGTGGCCCGCGCACATTGTGTGGTTCGCAGCACTTGGTTCAGCGCTGTGCACTCAGCCACCTTCTCCTGAGGACTCCGGGGAATAGGCCAAGACCTACGTGGAGTGGTGAATAGACATCCAGCTTTACCTGATCTGCAGGAATGGCATTGCTACAAATGGCACTGCTACATGACATTTTGGGGTTTGCTCTTGTTTGCAAACCTTGACAGCACGAACAGCCTTGTATTGGTCACACAAACCCACGAGGTTTTTGCCCTCTCAAGTTTCGAATCCCAAAGATCCCATTTTGGGAAACGAGATGTCCAACCATTTTGGGATGATATTCCACTTATCATCATTCACTTTACTTAGTGAGGTCCTACTGACTTTTTGGTTCGCAACCGTCCCCGCATGCACTCCCAAGCATCCTGCAGCTCACGGTGCTCTGCCGGGTCTTGCTTGAAGAGTTCTGCTTGGTGGGTGCCTCAGTTGGTGCTCAGGTCCTAAGAAATTAGCGTGGGAAACCCTTGCTTCCATAAACCTACCATTTGGAGATGGTTGGAAATCACACCCATAAAAATTGTGATTTTTGGAAGGGTTTATTATTGAGTTTACCACATTACCTGGAAAACGCGCTTTTGTTAACAAACACCAACCGGAATTCAGCCAGCACAAAAGGGGGGCACCACCGAACTTAGAAGTGGACTTGAGCAGCAGCAAGTGGAATTCAACGACTATCAGAATGCATATGACCTCACTCTTGCCTGCATCGATCAGCCTATCTGTGTCTGCATCTTTGTCTCAAGAACTGAAATGAAAATGGAGGTTTCAACACGCAAAAATGCCAACAGTGGTCCCCCAACATTGAACCAAAAAATCACATACAAGCTCCTCGAAAGTGAATGGAACACTCCAAGGATCTTCTCGGCAAATCCACACATCCAAGCTTTGGGTGCTTCCTGAAACAGCAGTACCTCCAAAATAAATGAAAACAACAGTCTTTTAGTATTGAAATACCCACGTGGCCATTGGGTTTAGCTATATATGTATAATATACATAAATGGCTCAGACTACCCCCACCCAAGGTTTTCGGATGTCTTGATGATGTCTTGGGAAATGCAAATTACAAAGTATAAAACACATCAGGCCCCACAGCCCAGCTACATCTCTGGTGCAACTCCATCCACTGCCGAGCGCTGCTCTCCAGTCGCTCTGCGTGGCTCAAAATCTGCTGCAGCTGGGCGTCACAGAAGGCAAAACCCTCCACATGTCCCCGGAGAAGTTGCAGGAGTTTTGGGTCCTGCTCGCCGGAAGAAAATGGGTCCCATGGCTAGAAAGCATGGGACCCAAAAGCATGGGATTCGAACACCCATAAGTTAGGATATAACGAAAAAAATATGCTATAGACTATATAGAATTATGTATATATATATATAAATAATTTATATATATATATATATACAGTGTTGAGAGTCCCAAGTATGGCTCTTTTGGACATCTAAGGTTTTTTCTCGGGGTGAACACGCCCATTCAAAAAAAAAGGTCCCACACACTCGCATAGTTTTATGAGGAGTTAATGAACTAACTTCAATTCGGGGGCCCTTACTGTATGCTATGGTGGAGGGCTTCAGCTGATGACATATTTATTTATATATATATATATCTCTCTCTCTCATATATATATATATCTCTCTCTCTCTCATCTTTGAAAGGTTGATGGAAATTGAGTTGGAATATAGCTGTCCTCCTGGGAAGTAAGCTGCAGTCTCAAGGTCTTGCCTGGCCAACGTCGATCAACTCAAATCAAGGATGTCAAAGGTGTGGGGAAGCGCGCAATTTTCAAGTGGAATGGGCGTGTCCTCATTTGGGGGACTTTGCTTAACCCTTTGCACAGCATCGGCTACCATCAGCTTGTAGCAGCCCCAGGAAGATAAGTACAATTACAATCCTACCACAATAGCAATATCATTGTATGTGTTCTATCGTTTTCTATTCTGTTTGGAGTGTTTTTTGGGGTTACTATACCATAATTCCATGTAATTTCACACAACTCCATATATTTACCATATAATTCCCAGCTACCCTACACTTTTCCCAATCTGATGAGTCAATGGTAAGCCGCATTCGGCCTGTCTTCATGGCCCCTTTCAGACGGTCGAAAGCCAGCTCGGCGTTTTCGAGCATCTGCGTCAAGTTCTCCCAGAAAACCACTGCCTGGTGGAAAAGTCGCGGGAAAACATGGTGAAAATCAGGTACCCTCTGGTAATTTGATAGTTTGCTATTGAAAATGGCCCATAGAAATAGTTGATTTACCTATTAAGGTGATTTTGATAATTTTTTGTAGCTTTACCGGAGGGGAATGTCAGTATAATGATGATATCATGAAGCTATCAAACGGTATAAACCAATGAACTCGTTCCATCTGCAATTGTTTTGGGAACTGATTTCAGCAGGTGAACATCCACCTCTTCGACGGATTCAGCTGCCTTCCTTTTCACTTTTGATTCTGCCTGGTGGGTCGCAGGAAAGGCACAAATCGGAAGCAATCGCCCCTATCGGTGTGCATTTTTTCTGCCTATTGAATGAATGTTAGGATGAGCAATATATGCACTATATCTACATATTATATTTATATATTGTTGTAGACATGTAAATATATGCATATAATTACATGTATATAATATATATATATATAACACTATATAATTGTCATATCTACATATCTACAACATCTATGCACATAATGTGCGCCAAATAAACGCACCTACTGATACTGTTCACGAGTAACCTTAATTATACAATGCTGATTGCAAGATTTACTTACTGTCTATATCTCTTGGGGTTGCTATACATTTTCAATATTCCTACAGTAATTGTATACATCAAAACAAATATAGACACAAGTTCAACTTTCACCAAACAAAATCAATGCAAAAGTACATAATAAACAGATCTATATATGTTTCACACCCCGTAAGTTCTCTGGGAGCTCCCAGGGGTGTGTTTTCCGACCTGCCGGTGACCTTGCATGCTGCTTTGCAGCAGCGCGGTGCCACATTCGCCGCCATCACAGCCGTCTTCAAAAAGAACCGACGCTGGTGCCTTGCAACGGCTGGGTGTGGGGGGTCAACCGGCAACCGTTGCCCACCGCTACACGCAAAGAACCGGTTGAATTCTGGTAAATTGGTGCAATAAATTTGGCCAATCCCATTTTTTATAAGAGGTAACCGTAACCCATGGCAAATGGTAAATAATCTAATGTGGCCATTCATGTGGCCCACCCCAATTCTTAACCATTGGGAGATGGTCTGTACCACGCATTTATATGCATAAAAATGGTGATGTTGGGGATGGTTTATTGAATTTACCAGCACATTATCACATTATCCAATGTTTATCCATTTTCCATAGCTATGTTAAGTTCCCAGAGGGCAACCTTAGAGTAGCGTCAGGGTTTCGGCGAGGGGGTGGGGGGGAGGGGGGTATCGTTCCTTTTCAAGTGCGTTGAAACATGCCAAAATTGAAGCGGGCGAGCCGTGTCCACACAACAGGCTATTCTGAACAGTTTTGGGTGGCTATATGCAACAAGTGCATCAACACCTGCGTATAGAATCGTCTTTATAGATATATCATGATAATTCATGATATATCTTCCCGCCACAGAAAGAGATAATATGCATGGTACATCATGGTACACACATACCAAACCATTACCATCTGGTTATTTAACATAGCCATGGCAAATCACCATTTTTAATAGGTAAACCATCTATAAATGGGCAATTTTCCATGGCTATGTTAAATAACCAGAGGGTATCTGCATCTGTCCCCCACAGAAAAACCACCAGATCCCATCCGATCCCCATTCCACTGGAGAAGGTTTAAGTTTGTTGCTGGTGAGTTTGTTGCATCTAAATCCCACCAGCAACAAACTGAGAAACACAGAACCAAACTCACAGGATTGCGCAAAAAATAAATTCTTCCGAAGCAGTGCCAATCTCAAATACCCTGCCACAAAAAAAAGTGGACAATATATATATATAGATATGCAATGATTCCTATCTATGGCAAACACATAAGCCTTCGCACAACTGTAGGAAATAAACTTTCTGGTGAAAATATCAGCACTCGGTCCTTCAGCCAAGATGCCCGCACTTCTGGTCTAGAAGTGGCCCCCACCAGCAAGCATAAGATCTGCGCCCCTCGAATCATGACGAGGGGATTGCCACGTACAAGAATCCTCGGCCCGAGTGACTTGATGAGCATGGGGTCGCAAACCGGGAACCGGGCATTTTTTATTCCAACGCGCGCACGACAAAGCACAGAACAGCAGAACAGTGTTCAGGGATGTTTGCTACCTGCTACATGCAACTGAAGGGCCAAATTGCCAGCAAACAAGGATCTTACTGGCACCAACTCTTGACCAACGTTCCCCTACTTGAATGACCATTGATGACCATCCAAAACAGTTTCTCCTGAGCCACCTGCTGTCACCGATCGGAATTGACCTGTGAAGTCTAACCATGATGAGATACTACAATTCATTAGAATCTATACTGATATACCGTGATAGGCCTCATGATCTTCAGCAGTTTTCCCATGCTCACGGCATCAAGGCCTGCCCTCCAATCATTACATCACCTCCCACAGGGTCTTGATTTGTCCAGGCATCCGCTTCCGAGATCTGGTTGGCCTATGGCCACATGAAGCGCACCCCGAGGGATGCCACACAAGAGCGAGGCACAAGGGGGTCCGTGCCCGTCTTGAGCCCGTTGACACATGCATATGACGCGTATGTAGAACATGTAGAACGACGTGACAAATGAATTGTGCAACTTGTGCACATTCAAATCATAAAATCAAAGGCCTACAACGAAGTACAAAGGCTGATGCATGTTGTTTACACATATCTTTGTGAAAATCCACTTAGTAACAATTGACTTTATGTCTGGTGAGCGCCAGAGCATGTTCAATGTATAGGTCACCAGAAAGGTTTGCCCGGGACAGTCCACTTCCATTTAGTTTTAGTCCTTCGTGTATTTCTTCGTGTTTGGTGGACATTATGTCGACCTTTGTTGGTTTCATACACGAGGTCGTCTTGAGTTCCTCACACGGCCCCCGGCATGAAGCCTCGTAGTTGTGGAAACCACCGGTTTCCCGCCCGGTTTCCCAAGGAATTTGATTTTTGGTGAGCCTTCTATATGTACTTTTTTTGGTGTCCATAGGTAGTTAAGTTGCTTTCAAAATAGGCACAACCTTGGGTTCATGGTGATGAAACAACGATCTAACTTCAGGGGTCACCATTTTGAATATCTTCATGGAATCCCTATGATATCATTGAGATACTGTACTGTCCATATATCATACTGTTATAGAACTATAGATTGTATTATACTATATTATATGATATATATATATATATACATATTTGTCACTACACCCCGTGTCATTATGCGTCTACCTTTCTATCACCGTTACATCCCCAGAGTGATGGTATTAGTAAGGTAGTCGTAACTGGCTTATAATCCACCATATCGCCAATGATAACCCGATGATCATCTTCGGTCATCTTACATCCAACTAGTGAACATTCTCTCCATGCCGGTCCATGTCCTACCTGGGCTAAGTACCAAACACACACATAATATATATATATATAGAGAGAGAGAGATGCATAATAACCTTCAAAAAAATAAAAAGTCCGTGCTGTCAATGCTATACTTCACTAAATGACTCCATATGACAGTTATAGACAGTTCTAGATGATGTTCCCATCGCCGAGGTTCGACCCTTCAAGGGCTTCTTCGGCCTGGTGCAAGGCTTGCTTGGCGACCTCAAACGATGGAAAAAGCTGGCAGTTCATGGAACATTGGAGAATTCACCATGAAATAAATGTGAGAAAAAAGGGGAAGATCATGGGAAATTGAATTGGATTATATAGTTACGGGATAGTTGAATGGGATAAGTGAGATCATTGGGATGAGAATGGGCAGATAAATTGTTATAACTAGGGGAAATATAAGAAAAATCACCATTAACATAATGGCTATATCATTGAACTAAACGATCATTGGATTGGTTTAAGGTAACTTTTCAAGGAGACGTCTGTCTTTCATGGAGAACTCCATGGTTTCCTGCAAATCTTCCTGGAAATGTGGAGAACTCACCATCAAACAATTGGGTATTAACTACCATGGGGAAAAAAGGACTTCATGATTCAACCATGAAACCTTGGGATCTAATCCGGTTTATATCATCATCTGACTGACTTGCGCGTCAAAAAGATCGATCTTATCATGAGCTCACTGGAGTGGCTTTGGGGCAATCAATTGGATTAATATTAAGAGGTGTGCCATGAAAATAATAGGCAATAACCAGTGTACTGTAAACGTGTTTCATCATAGTCTAGGAGACCCTAGCAAATTCTACGATGTGAACTGAGAATCCAGGATTCTCTTGGCCATGGTTGATGAATTAGGAGCAATTGCTAGTAATGTGACCCCCGCAACTATAAACATTCCACATGTGTTTAGTTTTGATTGATCCCATGTTGGCCTTCCTTAATGGAAGTTTACTGCAGTCCCAAAGTGCCTATCTAAGAAACAACTTGTGTATTGTGAGGAATGTGAATGATGGTTGTGGACAATTTTGTAAGTACAGCCAATCCATGCTCCGGCTTGCAACAAATATACAAATCATCTAAACGATCTGTAGAACTCGCACAAGTTTTTGTGCTGCATCAACGTTTCCAAAAGTATCCAAATTGATTTTACCTGGCCCTGCTATACATCATTAGATATCCATGTCCAAGCCTTTCAGAAGCCTTCCCTGTCCACTTGTTCCCAGCTGCCTGCTTTTTGCCCAACAAGCATGCGACTTGCGCAATGGAGTGATTCAGCCTACGCAGGGAGTCTCATGTGTGCACCTTTTGGGTCGAGGCTACTTGCATGCCTTTGATTTTAAAGGGGTGCAAAATGATGTGTGTAAACCAATTCCCCCAAACAACAAGCACCCCCCAACCAAAACCTCAAGGTTTTGTATTGGATTTGTTCTTTCTTGGTTCCATTATGGATGGTAGTGAATATTAGGAGAATGAATGGGAATGAGATTAGTACCAATGGGTTTTCAGCTTATCAAGTTGCTTCAATGCCTTCGGCATCCAAAACAAGGACGAACAGAATCTGTGCATCTGTGGGTGCAACGTGGTGCAACCTTCTGTGGCGCAGCCGCAAAACATTAGAACATTAAATCTTTAAAACATTGAAACAACAAAGCAGCAACAACAACAACAACACCAACAACAGCACCAACACCAACGCCAACACCAACACCAACACCACCACCACCACCACCACCACCAACAACAACAACAACAGCAGCAGCAGCAGCAACAAAGTCCCGCCAGCCAAGCAGCCCTGCGGTGTTTTCAAGCCTTGGCAACGATGAACAAACGATGCTGCAAAGAAAGAACAGCATAGCATGCTGGAAGCAACCCCAGCCAATCGGAGAATGCGGTAGACAATCACAGCAGTGATTCATTCCACTACTAGTCACCCAATGAGTAAACAATAAGGATCAACTAACTTACCAACACATACCAAGAGAACACTGTCCAGAAGCGATGCTACATAAGGAAACTTTCCATGAAGTTCTCAACTCATTTTGGGATCTCAGCCTTTTTCACTCTTCCGTACTTTTCCATATCAAGGAATCAAACCCCAACAAGTTCTGCATATGCTCAGCATTCCATGGCTTGGAACAATTTTGATGGCGATTATTGGACATTGAACAGACATTAAAAACCACCCAGGAAATCTGATTTCGAAGTTTCTCCAGCTGGCTGATCCACAGATTCCCCCGGTTTTGGATTTGCCCTTGGCAAAAGATCCAACGGTTGGCCATTGGAAACTGGGCTGAGGAACTGGGCTGTCGCATCCGACATCTGGGCATCTTTCCTGGCTCGAGATGCGAAAGGGAATCCGAGAAGGACACTCAAACTGACACCAGGAAACTTTGCTAAATCACGCACTTCAACTTCTACCTATATTGCTGACAAATTAATCGCATTTTTTTGGAAGACACATGGCCCCGATGCTTGTGCGGTACTTGTGGGAGACATAATTTCAAGTTGCAAATAGATTCGATACATGTGCTTGAAGAAGCCGACATTAGATGATCTTAAGATATATCAAGATATATTAAGTTTCTGAACCCCCCAAAAGTATGATATGAAGGATATTGAAGATTCTTGAAGTATCCCTTTAGAACATCTTTCTCACTTTTATTGGGCCGCAACTTTAATCGCCGAGCTGCAACAAGTTCATCAGGGCCTTCAACTGGAATCGTTGACCATGGACCTGTGCCAAAAGCCTCGATCACCCAAGGGGTTGATCGGAAAAATCGGGGAAACCCATGGGTTTTACCCATGGGTTTCACCACCGAAGGGTTGCAGATTTCCCCGTAAACCAAAATTGAAAAAATAAACATCCTCCCAACTATCAGTTTGTATCTGAGAATGGCATCTCGGAATCTCTCTCTCTCTCTCTCTCCATCGCCATCAGGGTCACCCTGTCCTAGCTGCGTGTGAGAAGAGCATAGGCCCTAGGCTATATCCCATTTAAAAATATGGTAGGGTCTATCTTGGTTGGGGAGGCAGTCACTTTGCTGGCGACTAGTCACAGCAAGTTGGTCCATCCAAGGTGATAGCCCCAGTATGCCCCAGTTATATGTTTGGTTGATAAATATAAGTCCCAATGAGTATACTAGCCACGGTAGTACCGTAAACTACTCTTAACTTCGTGAAAAGACCCAACTTACAGTAGCTAAGTTACTGGGACCCCAGACCCCACCTTGTTTGCCCCAGTCACTTGTATGTGGCAGCATCAGGGTAGATTCCACCAGCTTTCTTGGCACTTATGTAGAAGTCCTCCATGAGCCGCGCCGCGTCAATTTTGTGGTAATTCTTTCAGAAAAAGAAATTGGAATATACTACAAATATTCATGGATTAGTTTACATGTATAAAATACATGAATTAAGTGTGTCTGTGTATATCTGTGTATATATAAAAACATAGATAATTATATAATATTATATATTTATAGAGTGTCAATGCGCGTGCACCTAGCCCAAAACACCTTCACAACGGTCGCCTCAGCCCTTTTCTTCCGCGACCGCGCCTCGGCATCTCCCAGCGCACCCAACTTCACGCATCCGCGCAGGAAGGTGTTTAGGGTGCGAAGGTCTCCCGACACTCCCGCAGCCTCGTGGAAGCGGCCAACGGGGTCAGAAAAGCCCCGTAGGAATCCCGTGATGTTCACAGCGGTCCAGAGCTCGAATTCATGAAAATTCATGGGTCTTCATCCTCCAAATATGGATCATAATATGGATAAATATATGGATAAATATATGGATACCCTCTGGTGAACTAACATAGCAATTGAAAATGGCCATTTATAGTGGATTTTCCCATAAAAAATGGTGATTTTCCATTGCTATGTTAGTTCACCAGAGGGTAAATCAGATAAATATTGTTTTTTGTATTTTTTTGGGGGCACTTTTTCACATGATTTCACTTAAATTCACAAACCCCAAAGGTCTTACGGTGACGGATGGCATCGCCTGCATCTCTTCCACGATTCTCCAGGCGGATGCCAAATCTCCTGCAGCAAAATGACCTTTCAGCAGCGTGGTGTACCTCAGACACAGTGGAGCTTTTAGGCTTTGGGCCTGGACATCCCATATATATATAAATATATATATATGTCTATATATTTATTTTATAGATAATATGACAATATGATATGAACATATATGAAATAATCAGTACACAACTGATCTGAAGCGCACGCTGCTCGTGATTTCCATTCATCTCCCACACCTTGCATGAGAATTGGGATCCAATTTCACTTGTGGAATAGTACTATGATCCTGGTTGGTTCCACCAAATATCAACTCATGTAAAGGCTCTCTCCCACTTTTCATTTGAACCTGGAGCCGAGCTGCGAAAAACTCATCGATAACTATGTAACATGACATGCAACACTACAACCGTGAACTATAGACTCTATATGATTGGATTGGTTTAAGGGAAATTTTACAGGAAACCGTAGATTTTCCCACTACATATGGGGCTTTCCTGTAAAATTTCCCATCATCCAATTCTATGATATAGACTAACAGACCCTCAAAACTATGACATGCGTCGTTTGCTGAGCCAGGAAGCTCCACCACGCCCAGTGGAAGGTTGTTGTCCACCATGCTCTGCGACACCTTCACCGCACCAGGAAGGTCGCCACAGAGCACGTGAACGTTCCTGGGGGCAGCTGTTGAATGATCCATTTTCTTGATAGTGAATGGTCAATGACTAGGTTGTATAGTATAAATATATATATATATATATGTATATATATATGTATATATATATTGGGTAAATTTGGTAAATCATATTTATAATATTTCACTAACCTGAATTAAGGCCATTTGGGGATGATTCCTCTTATTAACCATGATTCCAGTGAGGTCGCAGTGAGGTCGTTATAATTTACCCATATATATAATTATAAATATATATATATATATCAACCCTGATAAGTTGCATGGCATATACGTACGTATTGTTATGTCAAACTTTGAAACCAATTTATTGAAACAAACAAAAACAACTACCCTCTGGTGAACTAACATAGCAATGGAAAATCACCATTCTTAATGGGAAAATCCACTATAAATGGGCAATGTTCCATTGCTATGTTAGTTCACCAGACGGTATAATCCACTTACCAACCATGCGAAATGTCACAGATCATCCCATGACGTGTAGCTCTCAGAGCTTACCAGGGAAGCCACCTTCGAAGCTGGTTGAGCTACCCTCCACAGTCAATGGGAAATTTAACCACCGATTTTCACTGCTTTAATCATTCAAAGAACCAGTGATTTAGACCATGAAAACCTACCCGAAATATGGGAAATTGTTTTGATCCATCAAACCATCATGATGCAACGATCAAACCTATGGATTTAACCATCAAACCTATGGATTTCATATGATTTCATGATGCAACTGCTGTAATTGGATTTAACCAAACAAAGAATGCGCCGTGGTACCAGGCTCCGCTCATGACGAAAACAAGCAGGGATTAGCCAATGATTAGCCTCTGGAAAAATAAAAATAAACACATGCTGGCAGTGGAATTTTCCACCAGTTCTTTCTCTCTCTCTCTCTTTCTCTCTCCCCCGCCATCAGCAAATCCCCTCCAGTTTGGTACTCTCTCTCTCTCTCGCTGGGCGTTTGGTACTGAAGATGATTCAAATGTTAAAACAGCAGGGTTTCCCCCTACCAAATTGCGTTGCCCTTGACGTGCCAAATCTGGGTTTGCTTGAAAATAGTGTATATCGTGGCTGTATACCCCAAAATGGAGAAACAAAACAACACGCACTAAGGAAAAGTGATGCTGACCGAGCTTCAGCAGCGTGGAGAAAATGTGACGCGTCACGCGTCCGCCGCTGGCAGTGAAACGTTGAAAGGTGGACAGCGCTTCGCTGAGCTGCTTTCCTCGCAGCGAACGCACCAGGGATGTAGGTCTACATCCCTGGTGCGGCTTGAAGGTAGCTGAAATGTACGAACAAATATCATCTGGATTAATTACATAGCCATAGCCATGGAAAATCACAATTTTTAATAGGTAAACCATCTATAAATGGGCCATTTTCCATGGCTACGTTAAATAACCAGAGGGTAAGCCAAAAAGAATAGACCAATGAAACAATGGAAAATGCTGGCAAGCACGACATCATCCAGTCCATTCATGTCCTAAGAAAGGACACCTGGCAGACAGCAACGTGCTGATGCCCATGTTCAGTTTCAAGGTGGTGCCCCCAGTTTTGATCTGAAATCCCATTTAGATGCATTTAGCAACATCTATGATTTAACATGGTTTGACTATTAATATGCTATTTAACTATCTAGTTATATCATGTAATGTTACATCAGTACCTAAGATAAACCAAAGAATTCACATAGAATTCACAATATTCTAACAGCAGCTTACCGCAGCCAAGGCTCTAGAGCCACAACTGGCAATTTCCCGGGCCTGGCACCGGAGGGAGAAATCATGATGAGTAAATTAGCCGCAAATTAGAGGTTTTTAACTCCTACATTTAGCATGTGTTTTAAAACACTAACAAAATATGATCATGTTCTATGTTTGCAAAAGAAAAACCTTTCTGTACAGGGATGTATGTGATTGTTCCCGCCAAAAGGTACCCGAATTAGAGGCACCTCAAACATTATATGGCCTTTCTAAAGCTGATTTGTGGGAAAACCCTACCCCTAATACTCTCATGTGGTGGACTAACTTAATCTTAATAGGAGGTACCTGAAATGGCTGTTGATTTTTGTTGCTGCTTGATTGATGAGGTCATGGGTGGGCACTTGCACATATTGGGCATGGGACAAAAAAAAATAAAGCCAGAACACCAATAAACACAAAAACACCTTGTATACTAACTAGTTTAGTTTAATCATTGTTCAATTCATTTTCATGTATATAATTGACGCGTGCCAAACCGGCCGCGGACAATGCCAGGTTCTTTGATGTCCATGCTTTGGCAACTCCAAATGGCACACCTGAGGTATGATGGTACTACACTGACCCCTATGCTATCTGTATTCTTTGATAAGGATATTCAATATATAATAATAACTAATCTCTTCAAAGTAAACAAAAGCACTACTGATGGTTCATACGGTGTGTAATCTTGTTCTCTCTCTCTCTCTATTTTTAAATGAATATATAATTTGTGTGTATACTAGTATGCATTTATCGTCCTGTTTTTTCCCGTTGGCACCCGATCATCTGATTACTCACTATCCCCGCACCGTGTTTGCGGCTGCTTCGCCCCCACGAGCCATGAGGAAGGCCAGCCTTTGATATTGGTCAGGCCATTCACCACCAGCCCACAGTGAATCCCCGCAGATTTTTTTCACCAGTGAAATATAGTGAAATAAAATACCACACATGGGATCAAAATGAAAAAGCAAACAATAGTAAAGCAGACTTTTTTCGGATTGTGTATGATAGTGCTTGATAACTAGGGAGGGATTACTTCCCATTTGGTGTGTGAAACAACAGACTTGTTGATGGATTAGGTATAGCGGTTCACCATTTTTCAAGGGAGAAGAAGCCTCAACCCTGAATAACTTACAACTTAAACACTTCTGAAGATTTGCAAATGCGTATCTACTTACCAAGAGATAATACCTTCTGGTAAACTAACATAACTATGGAATTTCACTATTTTTCATGGGAAAATCCACTATAAATGGTCATTTTCAATAGCTTTGTTAAATTACCAGGGGGTAGTGGGAAAATCATCAAAACCTCACCTCTGCTGCAAAGGTCAAATCCCCATGATCTGTACCATCGTACCATCCTATACTTCGAATCAGCCGCAGCTTCTTTTTTGGGCACCTATCTGAGATCAATGGAATCAATGGTTATGATAAATCCAGAAAAAAAATCCCCAGTTTGGAATGAGTTTGCTACTGTGAAAAACACATGGACATGGCCTTTACCCTCGCTTTTTCGTGACCAAAAGTATCATCTCAATCTAGTAGGGGTTTCCGTTCTTTTCCTCCCAGCATTGCCCACTGTCAGTTGATGGAGGCTAGATCGGAAGCTCAATTCGTAGCTCTTCGGCTTCCCATTCAATAGGGAATGTGGATATGCATAGCTCCGACCCGCTCCCTCCTAATCACCAAATAGGCTGAAATTGCAACCATAGTCAGAAGCAAAAATTGCATATAGTTGTATACACATAATTAATTAACAAATTATATATGTATATATACGTATATATAATATATAATATATCATCGTGGCGGAGTAGATACAATGGAGGAAATGTCAACACATCCTCACTAAAATGGCAATATCATGCAATATCTCTGAGAAACCATCAGAATCGCATAGATTCTACTCCAGGATGATAATCAAGGCACCTCCCAGGCGTGGCCACCAAGAGTTCCACCCCAGCCTGTGGTTGGACATGTCGCCAGGATAGCAACGCTGTTGAACAACGAGTACATCTGGGTTGGTTTACCATTTTTTGTTGCCAGGGCTTCTCAGAGGATTGATTTGCCCAAAAAATATCCAAAGTCAATTCTGGGAGTGATAAGTTATATCAAGTTATATATAAGGGTTTTCAACCTGGTGAAACTTACCAACTATCAAGATATATCACGTGTCATTTTTTTGCCACCCATACCCACCTTATCCCTACAACTCAGTCCTTTGGGATCATTTCTCAGGGCCCAACCTCCCTCGACGTCGATGTCGTCACTGTGAGGGTTTTAAGGGGTAACAGCCACATTGGCATTACGTCATCTTTAGTGAAGTACGATAACTTACGGCATCCAGAAGAAAACCAGGATGACTAATGGATACTGTATGTGATTTCGAAATATTTCAAAACAGGATTGAACCCCTTAAATCCATGGATTTTGATGATCACTAATTACTGGTGAAATGCGACCATAACGGATCCCAATCTCCACCTCCAAAGCAGCAGCTTGAGACTCCCAAGGAGTACCACCATAGACACAGCAAGCCTGAGCTTCGGCAACGTGGTTCGAGGAAACCAGAATTTCTGGCAACGGGGATTCCTGGAAAACGAACACTGCCCTTGTCCTCCGTCTATTGTGTATATATATATATATATTTATTTATATATATATTGTATGGGTGTGTATGGTATACTTACCTACATTGGGGCCATGAAAAGAATGGACCCCACACACACACCAGAAATTTTCTGAGCAAATTGTAGTCGCCGACAAACCTGAAATAACAATTCTGTTTTTGGTGAAAAATCATGAAATTTACAGTGACATTGTGGTGAGCTCTCCCATGAAATGGTTGGGTTAAGCCATGTAATCCTTTGGATCTCGGTAGTTAAACAGTATTAAACATGGTCCGTCGAAAACTTCCTCCAGCTATTTGCATGATTTCCCCCTACTTCCCCATATGTTCCATATGTTCCCATGTTTTTGTTCCCAATTGTTTCCCATATATGTTCCCCTTAAAAGCCGCCTGGTTGAGCGCCGGGACCTCCCAGCGACACCGAAAACCAAGCCGCTCGCTGACTGGATGGCGCGAAGCGCTCAGCTTCTCGATGGATTTGAGCTGCTAACTCTCGAGTGGGAACAACCTGAGGACCAACAAGGTGCTGTGCTTGGCGAAGGCGCGATTCGATAATATATATATATATAGACATATATATATATAGATATTATCTATATATATATATAGATATTATATATATATATATAGATATTATATATATATGGGAAATGGGGAATATTAAACTACATATCATGGAATTTGGGGGGTACCGCCTCGAAGCACGTTCCAAAACAGTGTAATTAGGCCAAAGCTTGTGCTGATCTTTTGAGCTTCAGGGCTCAAGATTTTGCCCTGAAGATCAAGGGATATGCTCTTGGGAATCCCAGCCGTTACACCAGCAAGTTTCCAGAGAATTCACGAAGTAGTGCATGAACCAATAGGGAAATAACAAAAGGGATTATAGTGATTATAGCGGAAAATAAGCATTGCTGATCTTAGAAAGGTTGCCCAACAGTTCAGCGTTATATTTTCCCATCTGGGCCCCGTTTAAACACATATAGCACAACATATCAAAACACCAAGGCCCCAGGTACAACCCATTCCCCAGAAGTGTTGCCGTCAAGCAAGTGACCACCAACGCCAAAGCGCCTGCTCCAGCCGCTCCCTCATCGTTGGCCTCCTGTAGCTGTAGGTACCAGCATGGTGTTGGCGGTCCGCTCGATTGATTTCAATGGAAATCTGGAGGAAATCAAGTTTTTGAAACCCCACAGCTGCTGCTTCTCTGTATTTTTTCCCCTCATCCAAAGCAGAGCCTACTAGTTATGTCGAAATGTGGCTATAAATGCATAGCGTGAACCGCCTGAACAATGGCATTTAAACATATATTAAATGTGGTGAGATAACCCAGCGATGAGTGGGAGCAAAGGGCATCACTGCGACTTAGAAATTGCCAAAGTGCCACGAATTTGGTCGGTCATTCAATTCTACGATATCAACCATTCGGAACCATATATGGTGGTTTCTTAAAATGGGGGATCACCAAAACCATAGGTTTCAATACTATAATGGTCTCATTTTGGATCATTTGAGGACCCCCATGACTTCGGAAACAAACATAAACATTGCTGGTGCCAAAGAAGGGCATCACATTTGCGCCTCGTTTGCTGGATTGGGATGGCCCCAGGATATAACATGATATAACCCTTGGAGATGTCCACAAGTCAATGTCATAGCTTCGAAGGCACAAGGGCTCCCAAAAACCAAAGGTATTACTTCAACAACTGGCCACCCAAGCTGGCAACCTCTAGCCAGTGATGAATTTTGTGCATCGCAGGTAGCCTCAAAACAAGACGCACGGCGGCACGGCGTATTTTTGTGTCAGTCTGAAAATAGGATATACCGCCAATAACGGCTATTTGACATCGGCAAAATTATGATGAACCAGTGGATTTTGGGTCCTATTTTCAGACAAACCATGACAAAACCACATGAGGATTCAGAGCCCCTGGAGACCAGCTAGCAGCAGCTAGCAGCTAGCACCACTATAGTATCACACCAATATAGCCATCTGCTTGGCTTCAAACTCCATTTTTCACTGCCCATGGGTCCATGAGCAAATGGAGAAGTATCAATATATATATATGTATATATATATATATGTATGTATATATATATATGTAATGTTGGACCACTTCCAGACTAGATGCGAAGCCGAAAAATGTTTCGGACACCGGAATGATTATTGCTTCCACACCACATGTATTTCAGGTGAGGCACAAAAATGCCAAAGTTTTCCCACTTCCCGTCCTCAGAACTTTTCGCATGACACAGCTCTGAAGGGACATCCAAATAGCCTCTGGTAAGCTGCCAGTAACATAGCTATTGAACATGGTCATTGATAGTTGATTTACATATTAAAATAATGTGATTTTCCATAGTTATGCTAGTTTGACAAAGGGTAAACAGCAAATACATGGCCACTAAAACTGTATAGCATCCAAGCATCTTGGCAATGCCAATGCAATCGTGACCGCCCAGAATCACAGGCCAGCCATAGGCCTGATGGCGTGAAGGGTATGGTGATGGTTTTGACCTACTTTATGAATGGTAAACCATGTGTGCAACTACTGTGTGTGGGTATGGTGATGGTTGAGATATTGCTGGTCTTTATTTTTATTGATCACTGCTTGCTTCACCAGAAAGGACTGATTCTCGAAATGCCCTGGTGATTCTGAGACTTCCTGTTGCGCCACAGCTCTTGGCAGCCACCTGAATGGGCATGGGCGTCTGAAAGCCGCTGATCCTCAACTTCTTCCGCAGATCTTTTAGAATCGGCACCTCCTGAAAGGATGAACATCGGAATCATTGGAATCATTGGAAGGACAACACTTGGAACCAATGGTGGGAGTGAGACTCCAACTATGTTCGAGCCTAAACAGCTTCTCTAACTTCAGGAACTATGGTTCATTGGTTAAAAGTCTTCATCACTCAAATCATCTCAAATCTACAGTACGTCTTTCAAACATGCACCTTTTCACACGTGTTTTGCCAAGGCAGCCATACTGCGGGCACCTTATTGCACTGGAAATTTGTTTGTCTCGCCTTGAAGGTGAGGAACGGCTGCACCTCACCTCCTTCCATGCTGATTCCAGAAGCTCCTCACCGCCAGGCCAGCGTTGTGATCGTCTGACCCATCGTTCTGTTTATCAAATAAGGAGCCATTGCGATGTCAAATCCCGCACCGGCAAGGAAGGAAGAATCGAAGAATCGTTTACAGTTTACCATTGTTTACCTTAACAGAAATAGTTCCAAACCATCTGTTCACATGTTCACACCAGTCTCACAAATAATCATCCTGACAGCTACTACTCAGATGTTGCAAGAATTCATTAGGTGGCTAGTAAGTGGGCTACTGTAAAAGATGTAAAACATCTAGCTCCTTTTAACTGGGATGTATTGGGATACATCCCGGTCACTAACAGCTTGGTTAAGTTCTAGCAACATCTAAGCATCACACATTCTCAAATCATTTCTGAGCCACAGAGGCAAGGATCCTGCGACAGTAGCCTTCTCACTACCAGCCTTTCCACTATCCTTCCCTTTTCCTTTCCCACCTTTTCCACCTGCATCTTGGCAAACATGGGCTGGAGCTGGGATGTTTCAGGTTTCAATGGATTGGTGAAATCATGGTGCTTTTACAGTAGGATGCTTTTTACAAAAGTTGATAAAATCTATTGATATAATAAAAGCAGGTTCCTGCAACATGTTTTACTGATTCATCAGGTTCCTGCAACATGTTTTTTTTAATAAAATCAATAAATTGACGGGCCAGCTCGAAGTGACTAGGACAATTCCTCAGACATTGCATGTTAATTTTCACAGCCCCAAAAACGGGCACATCCGAATTTGATGGTTAATCAGATCATGAATCAGGATATCATCTCTATAAAAAAAAAACAAACATTCATTTTTTGGGGGGGTAAGGTACACATCTTTCAGACCCACCCATATCTGGTTGGTGAGCTGCGGTGTTCTGCAAGCTGGGTACCAGCATTGGCAAGGTCAATGACATACACCCCCGAGCTTTGACAGCAAACCCCCCCCCAAAAAAAAAATCATAAAAACAAACGTCAAACAGAAATTCATCCTTTAAATTCATGTTTTTGGCATGAGCCCAAGCTTTTTTATCAGAGAAAACTCAGAGAATCCAGGAGACTTTATCAACCCCCGGAGCAGCGCGTCACCTTTCCTGAGCGCTTCAGGAAAGGGGTCAGCAGGGGTCAACCCTGGAGGATGACTTTACAACATCCGTGTAACCAGGGTCTATCTTAATAATTGCTACAGCTAATATATAATTAACTGTGTAGTAATGTAATTACTTCAACTATCCGTTAATCAGCTATTGAAGTTCAATGCGTAATCTCTGCGAATGAAACATGTGAAACCAGTTCCAGTTCGCCAACATCGCTTAGATCGAACCAAACAACCGTGCTCGCGGTTTTGCGTGATTGAAGTGGCAAGAAACCAGATCCAAACAAATAGCAACAATTTTTGGGCCACTAGGACTCTTGGTGTTGGTTATATAATGGGATAACAATGGGATAACAATGGGATAACAATGGGATAACAATGGTTTAGTGGCTTACCTTCTTTCAGTTTACAGACTTTATTCTGGAAGCTAGTTTTGCGCATACAAAAACTATATAGGTCACACATGCTCCAACCGCGTCTACCACGAGCTATTTAGCTAAACCGCCTCATGTCCCGAAATGGCCCAAATCTCGCAAAAGAACTCTTTCTTCATCTTAACATATTCTCAGCCTGACAATATTTCATGTTATCTGTGAATAAGAATGCTGTTCCGTCAAATGTACGTATATTCATTTAGTCTATTTTTTGTGTATCATATTGTTTTATATGTCATATTGCAAGTACTGCATTTTATACCTTGTGAGACTAAAGATGATGTTGTGTCATGTTATCCTATATCATGTCACATCATATTATATCTCTTATAATATTCACCAGTTATTCACCAATTATTCCCCATATATTTATTAGCATATAGAATATATAACACACACACACGCACATATATATATATAAATATGTATATATGTTGTATTCACCAATTTTGGCTAGCACTGGCCCAAGCTTGATCCATTTCAGCCATTCGCCTATCCTTTCACGCAAGACAGGCCTTGCTCCCAGTTCTAACTCCCCTTTTTCAACCAATCGAATTGGTTGGTATCCCAGTAAAATGAAACATGCAAATCATGACCCAATTTATTACCACCTCATTATTGAAAAAACTGTAAGTGACCCTTATGTTTACAGCTTATGCAAGTATTTTGGCCCGTAAAATCTCATCCTTTCGGAGGTAATCATCCAAAAGAAAGCTCAAGAGTGGCCCCTGTCAGTTAGAAAGTGGTGTCCTAGTTCCTGAACTAAGTGTTCCTTCGTATTGCTTCTGTAGTTGTTTCTCTTTTTCATATTATATATATATATATTATACTGTATATATGTTTAAAAAAAAAGCTAGGCTTAATGGCAAACATATCATCTATGGGCCTTCCAAGCCCACCCAACTGCGGCACGGCACTGGCTCTTGCCCTTGCGCGCCGCCACACTGGAGGTCACAGGTCCAGTGTCCAACCTTGATCTGGCGAGGTGGCCGAGGTCACGGAGGGAAACTATGGCTCCAGTTTACCCTCTGGTAAACATACAAAAAGCTATGGAAAACCACTATTTTTAATAGGTAAATCAACTACAAATGGCCATTTTCAATAGCTATGTTCAATTACCGGAGGGTACCTGAAATATCCTGAGATGGCCATTGATACTTGAATGATACTTGAATGATCTTGATGTAACAAAAATCCAGTGCGATTCGGAGGGAGCTCTTCGGAGCACATCTTTGTGGAAATCAATGGGCCCATGGGCCAATCAAGGAGCTACGAATGGAGTGTCCCAAGCGTACGAGAGGATTCTAAATCACAAGAAGTTGCCATTTTTCGTCTCACAAACCTCTTAGGTGAGCACCAAAAAATAGATGAGTTTATCCTATTCATCCCATCCACCATTACCATCTTCCCTTCACCAAACAAGACCCCTGCCTTTTTTTCGTCTAACAGCTTTCTATGAAACATGACTCATTTAGTGCTATGATGTATCGTTTTTTAAGTGGAGATCCTCGTTGATTTTCCAAGACAAACTGCTAAAATTCCCAGATCATGATTGTATATTTGGTTTTGTTCTTATTCTTTCCCCATGGTTTATGCTTAAATCCTCATCTTTGATGGTTAAATCCATATGGTTTTCATGGTTTTCTGCTCGGCAACGCTGCCAGCTCCTCCGGCACCCGTTGCTTTGCCGAGCGCAAGAGCTGAATGAACTCGTGCGCGTTGCCTACGGCGGGTGTCGTAAGTCATGGTAGGTTGTGGTGAAGTGATATTTACAGTATATTTTTTTTATATTTATAATTTATCATTGGAAGTCAATAAGTTGCGAACTGGAAGCCATGACCCATCAAACTACCACGAAAACATGAGGATCTGTCAGCTGTGCAGGGTTCCAGTCACCTGCAGAGCGCGTGCCAGACACGTCCTCTGGTGCTGGGAAGAAAGTGACCTAGCAGGGGGAAGGCACAGAGGCCCACCTGTGTCACCCGAGGCCCGAATCTCCGAAGTTTGAAAGCGGCGTCCAGGAGATGTCTGCGCGAAACATACAATAACGAGTTTTGCCCAGGAAATACATGGAAACATCAGTTGGGAATTTCAGGATCCTAAAATGGAGCTACTGTACCATATTTCTGGCCATATTTTGCTGGGATATATTTTGCTGGGATTTTCACTTACATAGGCCTCAAAAAATGGTACCTCCAATCAATCGGTTCCATCCTGGTTGGCCATGCCATGAAATCACCAAGCAGCATGGGTTGCACCCACCATTTTGGCATTTTGGTTCATAATATATATATATATTATATGTGTGTGTGTGTATCCCCAATAGTTTTCAAATGTGGTGAGGTTATGGTGAGTTGTACTGTATTTGTTAGTTATGAGTTATATCTCCATTTTGGTGCCCAATGAACTATTCCGCTTTGATTAGTGATCTGGAAAACTGGAAGATGCACCATTTTTTCTTGGTTACCCAAATATGGCGACAGGACATTCCCGGGGTTCCGGGTACTGGAAGAATCTCATGTTCTACTCTATGGATCCAAATGCAAGATTTGCTATTCATAGCTTCATAGCTTAGATTTTCCCCAAGAGTACGTGACTTTCTGTTTGAAAATCGGCTATACACACCCAAATCCCGTGGTTTATCATCCTTTTCCGAATTTAAGTAATCACACGGGGGAATACCCTGTATGACCACTGTCTCAGGCATCGCCAAAAATAATGTTTTTGGAATCATATGATATGTTTCATTATTAATTACATAACCACTTCATCATATAATGTCACAAAGACAGACATGTTTGGCTTTGTAGCAAACATAACATGTTCTATAATGTTCTATATCTACAGTAGATATGGCACTTCCTATATCACGTCATTTTGATTATGCATTCCGCTACTGTATGTTCCTTCTATTTTCCCCATGGTATCCTCATTTTATACTTGGCGTATTGCCAATTTCCTTTACATCATCATGGATGATGGGTACATCCCAAGTTGTATGAATATTATGGATGAAGTCACCATGTGTGGTTTAATCCCTATTTGGGTATAGATAAAGCCAACATGCATGGTAGATGTGGGCAAATTTCCTCTGTTAATCCCATCTCACTATGCTGATTGGAAAATAGATTATCCCAGTTCTCGGCTACAGCAATCCCCAACAAATCTCTGAGTATAACCCCATATATAGAATGCCCTGTATAAACCATATCAACAATTATAATTAGATAAGTTAGATTTTGAAGCCCAGGAAAATTATTGATATACTGTTGAGAGAGAGAGATATATATATATACCATGAACGAGGGAATTCGCTTGGTGAACCAAGCCAGGGCGCTGCGAGCCCTTGACGTCCAGCGCGTCCCGTGCGACCAATGCGGTGCACGTAGTCTTCCATGCCGCCTGACGGACTTTGGAACTATCATGGGGACCTGCAAAATTATCGTATGTTTAACAATGAATATAAGGATTAAATGCATGGATAGTGATGATATGGATATTTGGATGTGTCTGACAATGGTATACCTCCAAATGTTGGGACGTTGATGCGGAAAATGTTGAGAAAGAATTAACTTGGGAGTCAGCGTACTTTCAGACGAACCCATGTGGATCATGTGGCACATCCTATGAAGAAGAAACACCTTTTCTTGGGTATGACTTTCCAGAATGCAAAGATAATTGGCAAATTGGGTAAATATCAAATATCCGACTCCCCACATAAGCTATTAAGTCGGACAATCGCTGATGGATATTCAGGGACTATCTGGGATGGAATCCAAACATGGTTCCGCCGTGTGTTCGCAACATTCCACACCACATCAGGGAAAAACACACACATGTATACATATATATATAATATACAGTACACACATTCTTCTAAAGGCAAGTGTTGGTGCGCACATGACAATTCGATTCGCAAGGTGTACTGCACGTGGAAACAGTGAAAAGCTCACGGAATTGCTGCCAAAAGTCCGGCCATGGAGTCAGGGAAATCATAACCTAAGGGCTGACCCTAGTCAGGCTGCTTCCAATATGTTATTTCGTATGCTTACTGACCATGGGGTCATTTTTTGGGGTCAATGGATGTAAATCTTGGAAACTTTCTGGGAGGCCACCACCATCTGGGAACTAGCGGACCTGGAGGAACAATGCAAGGCTTGACCTTCTGCATATATGGGAACGCATGGGCCACACATGAAAGATATGTCAAATATATATATATATAGTATAGGGTCTGCAAGAAGATAGGATGAAAATGCACACATGAAATCATGAACCAAAAGGCAACTTGGCATCCAAATTGTCTGGAACTGCTGGCTTCCAATTCTTGGTCCAGGGTCGATGCAATGCTCGACCCCCAATCGAAGACACCCCAAAGCAAATGGACTTGCCAGCGGTCTCCAATGATGTGACCCCCCATTCCACATTCCCACATGCTTCCCCCTATAGAATTCCCATGGGAAAAAAAGCCTGGCAGGAAGGAGTAATGCAAGGGGTAGCTGGTTGGTGGTATACCTACCCCTCTGAAAAATGATGGAGTTCGTCAGTGTCATTATTCCATTCCCAATATATGGAAAGTCATAAGATTCCATGGTTCCACCACCAACCAGATTTTAGCATTTGAGAACCGGTGCCCAAAAAAAATCTCCTGAAGTGCCACCCGAAAGGTTACCAAGCAGCACACCACCAGTGTGATATCTTCCACGTCCAAACCCCTGGCGGCCACATCTGTGGCCACCAGTGTCTTGCTGGAGCCCTTGGTGAAATCCTCGTCCGATGGAGCCATCTGTGGCCACTCAAAAAATCTGTTATGTTCAAGAAAAAACGGCAAATTTTACATGATCTTATGAAAAAATGTCAAAACACAAATGGAATTTCAGTAACTAAATTGAACCTGGGGCATCTTATGGTAAACTAACAGGTTTCTGTCCTCTGAAAACTTTAAGCCATCCCCATTTGATCCAGGCATTGGCCGGAACACTGAACTGGCCGAGGGGTTCCATTTGAAATCATTACGCAAGTCGTCCGCCAAGCAGTGCATTTTTGCCGGGGTTTCCAAGGATTACCCCACAGCTCAAGTTGCTCAGCGCGCATAAAGCTCTTCATGGAGCCAGTGCGGAAAGGCGAAATGTGTCGAAGCTCTTTCTTTTCCAAGAGGAAACGGATGCATTGATAATATTGAAATAATATAGTGATTAATAGTGATTATGAGTGATTAATGGTTAATAGTGGCTAATAATGGTGATTAGTTATTGAAATATTGGACAGTGAATCGCTGAAAACTTTGCCATCTCTGTCGGGGGTCTTCTAGTGCTTTTTGTCTCTCCTGCTGCGTAAGGTTGCCGTGAATCTCGCCACAAGGAACCTTGCCATCTCCATGGTGCTGGGTTGCCCAAGGAGGAAGAAACGCTAATGATCACGACAGTTTGGGGCTTGTAAGCTTCTGTTCATGAAATTCAATGTGGAACCTATCCCAAAAAACATCCATACTGCCATACTGGACATCACCACAATTTAAATTTCCTTTGTTGACGATATGCATATTTTTTCCCACCCCCCTTGATCTAGATCATGAATCCCACCCAGAAAAGGGATGATTTCCAATTGACTTTTTCATCATTGCGCGGGGTTGAAGCCACCAATCCGAATTCTGTGCTTGATCATGCATTCAGGAGCGATTGTCAGCAGCGCGTGATTCAATAGCCATACTGCGATACTGTCATTTCATTAGCATGGTTAAAGCGCGTATATAAATATAAATGTAAATATAAATATAATAATAATAATTAATAATAATAATATATATAGTGGATGCAGGGCAACGGAACAACACTAAATTGTTTTTTATTCCATTGTCACAAGGTTGCCCCGCTAGTTCATAAGACCAAAATTTGACATACTTTGGGATGGCCAATCCAACTGGCGAATCACTGGGTTGAGAAAGTTGAGACCATCGTAAAGTGTCAGGCGATGAGGTTGCCCATCAGAGCGTCAGCTATGTACACTGCCAGACAGGGGCTACTTTGCAACTTGGGCATCCAGAAAAACTATTTATATATATATATATATATACAGAAACTACAAAAGAACATGACATACCATGAAATAACTATAGGATTGATGATTCATGAATGGGCCAACTAACTTTTCACTGGGCACCACCTCGTACGACCACTCCCCAACCTTGGTCCAAAAAACCACACCGGCTCTGCGCAGCTCATCCGCTAGAGATGCAGCTCCTGGCAAGCATGGCAAATGGCCTATAGCGACCTCCTATGGCAATTGATTTTCTATACGTCTAGTGGAGGTTGCATACCATCTTTATTATGGATTCTTTTTGGGCTCCATGTTAATACGCTTTCTTTCGGGGTGTCTTCAGAAGCTGAAGACAAAGTCTGACATTCGCGTGGCGCGCCTTTCTTGGTGTTGACGAAAATCAGGGTCTTCTTATCCCCGTGCTCCTTCAAAATCTCCAGGAGACGTGCGGGCTTCTTCTTCTCACCTCGGAAGCCACAAGGACACATATATGCATAATGTGCATTAAATATATCATCCCCCGTAATATGAAACACCCCCATTCCATGATTCCAAACAAATCCATTCAATCCCCTATTCAACCATATTAAAACATGTTTTATTTCTTGGGTGTGTTTAATATGAACGGAACAACGGATGATCATATGCAAATGCAAACCCTCCCTGACATATAACTAACTAAATAATTAGTACAGTAAATAAATAAATGCATGCATCAATGCACTGTATATAAATAAATAAACATAAATAAATAAATAAATATATATATGTCATGTGTGCCTTTTGATGCCCTTTGTTTTGCCACTGTTCTTCCGTTTCGTTTTAGCACGCGCTCTCGCGCCGAGGGACGTGGAATTTCCACAATCTGCGTCACGCTCGTGTTGGCACTGAGCTCATCGTCTCCGGATTGATCCTGAAAAACCCAGCAGCTTCCTCCAAGTAAGGATAGCAACGTAACTACCAAACAGACCAAGCAATAGCAAATGTAATTCCACTATTTCAACAACACCTATTAATCCTATTACATACACGTCTATGTGTTTTATTCTTTTTTTGGGGGGTTGCTGAATTGTCACATACTGTCACATGCCTGCAAGCAATGACACGCTTCTGTCTCAAATGAATACTATCCAGCTACCCATCTGCGTGCAGCTCTGGGTGCAGAATTACACCCAAACAGACAGATGGTCAACACTACAAACCAGGTAACTGCCAGCAAGTCACAAAGATCTGGAAGAAACCTGGTTTTCCATCTTATCATCTTGACATATCAAAGAATCCTACCTAAATGATACAACGCCTTTTTCCGGCCACCAAGATGCAATGCGGATGCGAACGGGTGTCCTCAGCTGGCTACAACATGCTGCGACATGACATGCTGTGGCTGGAAGGCCGATATCAAGTCCCATAGAAACGTCTCTTGCGCAGATTTCGCATCACAGCACAGCTCTTCTCATTCTGCTCAAGACATATCATGACTGTCAAGCTCCCCCACTATGAAAGCTTGACAGCGCACCCCCCCTCTCAGCAGAGCATGTCAGTGCTCCAACCTAAAACTGAGTTCTGAGGATATTTGCGCACTGAAACGCAACCCTTTGGAAACCTCCAAGACTACAACTGCTGCATTCACATGATTCTGGCATATAGATTTCCAATCCATGGGGCTAACTGAGGCTAACCCCAAATCATCATCCAATTATAGATGGATTTTCTAAGATTTTCCCTTGTAAACTACGGATGTTCTAGGATTTTCCCTTGTAAACCATGGATTTTCTAGGATTTTCTCATCAAAAAACAATCCAGCTATTGGGGTACCCCCATGATGGAAACCTCCAAAGATCTTAGGCCTGGGATGCCGGACTTGCCCAAAATCTCGCCTGTCATCTCAGGTTTAGACAATAACATGTGTAGAAATCTTCTGACACATAAGAATACATTATTGTAATAATATATAAAACATATATATATACAATATCTAGTATATATATATACAATATCTAATAAATATCTAATATATATATATATATATATACAATATCTACATGTATATATATAATTAGTATTATTACTGTTGTTATTATGATTTATAATTTATACACACACTGAATATATCATGGGATCCAACAACCCTTGAAAATGCATACGCCTAGGAAACACCTGTTGTTTTTTCTCCAAAAAAGTCGAACTGTTGGAAATCAGCTATTTCCAAGACTGTGCCAAAAATGTTAATTCTATCATCATACCATCCAAAAGCCATCCTGAAGAGACATTTATGGAACTTTGACAGGATACAATCCACTTCTTTGTTTTACCTTGACATCGTCAGGAGTGTTTCATCAATTGAGACCATCGAATTTGAAGCTATTAGACATGCTCAGAAGGCTTAAGAAACATACGGGAGCACATTATTCCAGGACATCAAAAACGATTGTTTCGGACGGATTTTTACGGGCTTCCATCGCTAAAATACGGGTTTTCTACGGGTTAGCAAAAGGCACACTTTTTCCAAAACGGATCTTTTTCCAATTGCACTACTTTTTTTCTATGGGATTTCTACGGATTACTACGATTTTTTTTCTACAAGTCCCAGAAAATACAACTATCTGGGCACCATGAACACGATGAAAATTGTAATGACTAATCGCCGGGGTTGTTTCCTCGTTTCTTGGCACCATATATACTGTAATGTTGTGTGCATCCTGGATGGGACTGTTCAAAAATGAGGACACATAATAACATAATAGATATAAAATGGCGTGGTAAATAAGAATGCATCAGGATAAATATATATCAAAACTATCTAAGTATATCTTTTAAGATCCCTTCCAAAACCATGAAGAGTAGGGGTTTTCAGCAATTTGCAAGAACAAATGAACTTTGGGGAGAAAGACAACCTTTTATTGAAACATGCTCAAAAGATTGTCTTTTCATCAAAGTACTGCAAATTTGTAGTCCTTGGTTCGGATGGTAATTGTATATAGATCAATTAAATTCAAATAACAGATCCTATTTCCCCCCTGAGGGCTATCATGTGCCTTCAATGGGCTGGACCCCGGTTACTTGTACCCCCGCTCTTATTGCTGGTTCTTCTTGTGTTGGTTGGCGATTCGGTGATTCTCCACTGGCGAGTTTGCCATCCAACAGGCCCATCACCCATCATCTATCCTGGATTGTTTTCATACCTAATCTCAATAACCTGAGTGTAAGATGTCTACGATGGTAAGAAGCAAGAAACAACATGGTAAGATATTAGATGTCCACTTCTTAGATATCCAATAACGTCATAACTTGATTTCGCTTGGACATCTAAGAAATGGTTTCCAACAATGAAGCATCACATATTGCTCTAGCTCCTTGGCTTCCCCTTTCTTTTCTTGGGAGGAAATGGATCCCTCCTGGTTGCTGGGAAACCAACTCCCCTGGGGATCACTTCTATGGTTGAAACATGACAATGTTTAAAACCACCAACCAGGTGATTTATATATATATACACGTATATCCGAGATACATATACTCACTATATAATATTATACACACATATATCTATATATATATATGATATTATATGATTATATATATAAGTATATAATATCCAGATTTATATGTTATAATATATATATGAATTTATATGATTCAATCACCCACCAGTAATCAGCAGCTCCGGCTCCCTTCACGTCCCATCCAACGTCCCACCGGTTTCGTCCCGTGGGCCTGCGAGGCTATGAACCGCCGAGGGCCAGGTGGCCGAAAAGAGCAGATTCTGACGCCACTCCCTGGGCGGCATCAAGCCGACGATCTCCTTGGAAAGCTCTGGAAAGTCCAAGGCAGGCCCCTTTTGGATGAAAAAATATGAAAAAATATGAAAAAGAACAATCCTACTTGAAAGTTGAAACTTGAAACTGGCAAACTAATGGGAATTAATTTGATTTCTATCTTCCGGGGGTTACAGCTCAAGTATGTATGCCGTGATTAAATGATGGTAGTATGTGAATCCTCATAATGGCTAGATCAATCCCTATTACATGGATATCATCCCTCAACCAAAAAAATGCGCCATTGATCAGACTATGAATCAAAAAGGCACTGTACACTATATAAAATGGCTGGCTAATGGATAGTTATTCCCACCCTTGGCCCCATGGAAAACGCCGCACAACGTGCCCCTAGAGGTGCCCAGCCACTCTGACCTGCGGCATGAAGCCCATGTCCAGCATCCGATCTGCTTCGTCCAGCACGAAATAGCGCACGCCGCGGAGACCCTGCCGCCAGGTGCAGGGTCTAAGGTGTCACGGAGAAGTGTCTGGACCTGCATCTTTTGAGATTCTGAATGGGAATATATGGCAATATTCTCAATTTATGCGTTCCTACTATGTGTGGCACGGACGCAACTACATTAAAAAGAAACAAGAAGAAACAGGTCTGACTTAAAGCAATCATCAGTCATTGTGTAAACGTCTACTGGATGCCTCCTAAGAACCTGGACCCAAACATATGAAACATATTGAAAAATGAAATGAGACAATCATATCACGTTCGGGGATGGCACATGTAGAATAGTAAGGTAACCACCAGCCAGGAACGCGTTTTGACCACAAGGAGGGTGCCCAATATGGGTAGCCGCGTAGCCCTAAACTCAAACCTACTTAGAACATGCTACATGATGCTTTAATCAAGGGATTCAGCCAACATCAGCCAACCACCCCGATGGAGGGGGGTTGGTCCCTGCCCCTCTTGCCTGCCGTTCCCATGTCTCCGTCGCACGTTTCCGCTTCATTCCATGGCACGCCGCCAGACTATCAGGACATGGAAATACCTCGATAGGCCGAGGCACTCAACACCCAATTGGGATCTCAAGCATTGCAACCAGAGGTGGGGCTGGTGGCGTGGAATGTGCTAAAACATCAACCACCTCTGAGCACTTCAGACAGCGCTAGTTGGTGCTTGAGCCACCAAAGTAGCAAAAAGAACCAGGTTAGTCCGCTGAGGGCTGTCTTACCAAAACACAGCGACCACCAGCCAAATCGGAGGAACACGATTACACGATCATTGTCTTTTTCCATCCGGCATCCAATGCCTTCATCAACACACAGCCATGCAGATTAGGCAACCGCAGGCAGACTGGAAAACTTCATCACCAGTCTCCAGGGACCTAAGCCTTTTGCAAACTTTGTGCGTTTCACATCAGTTCACTGGTGGAGGTGCCAGGCAGCGCGACTCGTGCCCTGCAATTGCAACTGCTTGATAAATCGAATCAACAGCTGCGGTAAGCAGCCCAGGATGATGAAGCACTGTGTCCCAAACTGTGAGAAATTGGTTGAATGATGCTTCATACGCTGCAAGAACAATCATCTAAATCAATTATCAATCATCTATATAGAGCTGCTTTCACAAGGTGACAGTCTGAATCAGACGTGCTGGAGCAAGAGCTACTCCGCCAAGCAAGCTGGTCTGTTCCACATGCTGCCCATCGCTGCTCCAGAAATCCATGGGTACGAACCTGGGGTTGCGGCAGAAACATCTCTGGCAAACTATCTTTGCAACAAAAAAAGTCGTAGCCGGGGCAACTAGAACCTAGTGTCAGAAATTTGAATTCAAAGTTAAGTCTTAGTCACACTGCCATGCTTGATTTGACATTGACACCTAGGCGCTGCAATAATGCTTTGCCAACATTCCTTTCCGGATAATTTCCACAAAAATTTGATCTGGAAACCCAAACATTGCAACAATTCCAGCAATTCATAATGTTCCAAAAACCCAATTCTCTCATTTGTCTGTGGGTTTGCAGCCTCTAAAATCTGCGGCCAAATCTCTCTGAAGAGGCCCTGGTCTTGGGCAGGACCCCTCCTGGGGTTGCGACCACAGCCTTTTCATTGGGTTCTTTGAGATACCCCGTCCGTCCAAAGACGAAGTTTAACTGTGTCATTTGAATAAAACCATGTTTTCACTGAAAACCGGTATTTGACCCGTTGTATTTTTAGGATTTTACCGGCAAGTAGCACATTCCAGTCAAGTTCAGCACAAGTAAGTGACAGATTGACAGTAAAATTGTTTTCATTGGTTTTCACTGGCTTTTCACAGTCTTCTCACAGGCTTTGCAGGGTGATTTCACGGGCTTTTCAGGACTTTTCACGCTTTGGGTATTTGAAGAGCCATGAAGGTTCAGAGCCACCAGCACAGTAATCATAAACCCTGCAAAACAAGGATGCTTCCAAAGAAAATTGATTTACCTTGTCATTACTAACAACAAAATTGAACTTCGTCGAGGAAGACCTGGGAGTTAATAGTTGGAAATGGTGAAACAGAGTGGTCTAAACATCAATTCTGCGGGATTCATGGGATATGAATGGCTTGGAAATTTCAATCCCCGTTGAAACGGAGGTGTTGGGAATTTGACATCTTATTTTATTTTTATTTGAGTTCGGGATGCAAGAAAAGCAAGATCAGAGACCAGAAAGGGATATCGCAACACTGGATTCTTAGCAGCCTTAAAAGAAAAAACCCAAACAACAGCAAAGCACAGCAACGTATCTAAGAACCTATATATCTCCAAGAGATTCCCAAAGTTTCTGGAGTTCATCTTGGTAAAAATACAAAATCACCCTGAAGCAAACCCAGAAGAAATGCGTCGCTCCTCGCTGCAAGACCTCCGCTACGAACTCGGAACAGAAGAGGCTGGACACATCCTGGGGATAGATAATGGTAGATGGGGGAACTCACACGTGCACAATATCAATAGGGATATTTCTCGTCATCCTATTGATGAGAACCCCATTTTTCGGAAATCAATAGTGGACTGGAGATAGATGATGGTAGATGGTAGATGATGGTTTGTTGAGTTGTCATCCATAGCATATTTTTTTGCTTACAATAGAATGGCTATGCAAAAATCCTATCCATGGATTGATTGATGACTGGCCATCCCATGGATGGAAACTCACTACAACGCCTTGATCACATCATCCACAGGTTCTAGATGCTTTTCCTATGCAAATTTGCTTTGATTCCACTATCAAGTCACCTTGAAGTAGAAGTTTGGTGACTCCCCCATCCCATGGAAATATAAAGGCCAACCAATCTCCAAACGATCAGCAACACACCACACCTAGTGACCTAGTCCATGACCATGTTACAACCAGGACATCGGCGCTCAGAGCACTCCACATCAACGTTGGTCACGTCCTCTTGGCTTTGGCCAATGCCGCAAACTTCCAACTGGCCAGGCAGCTTCGACGAGGCAATGATCTTCACACTTGGGGACTAAATGGCTTTATTAAGGATGCTTAAGGATGCTTAAGGATGGTTAAGGTATATCAACCTTCACTTACCCTCCCACATCGTCCATACCGATAATCACACGCATTAACTTATGGTAATATCATGTAATCTCTGCCCCATTCTGCCAGGTAGCAGCGTCACAAAAGGCCATGGAAGTCGAAGCATAAAAGGATGTCCTGGATCTGAAAAAAAGATGGGCGGGTGCAAGTCGTCCAAGTCATACAAAACGGGCCGGTATACCAACAGACACAACGTTGAATGGATGTTTTTTTAAAAAAATGTTTAAAGGTAAATCTGCAGGACGTCATCCATCATTCTCCCTCACATAGATGAGTTTCCTTATTCCTGTCAGCAACAACTGGGAACAGCATGTGAACCAACACCAACATTGGGGGTCTTGATGCAAGCTAAGGCACATAAAAAATAATAGTGTGGCATGTGGGCAGAATGATTGAGATACCATGGTATCTCAATCATTCTACCCACATGCCACACTATCATATATGGCTAATATAACTGATATGATACAGCCAACAAGTGTGGTGAAAGATGTTCATTCACATGACTCATAACTTGGGAATACCGGCCGCTTAGCAGGATCATCAGCGCAAATATGGCACCAGCAAGAAATCTATAACCCCTCCAGCATAGCTGGTTTCCGGATGCTGGGGTGTCTAAAGATGGGTGCACCCCCCAAAAAAATAGAGTTGCAGTAGGGAAATGATATGTATATATATATATAATATAAAGAATTATATATAGATATAAATTTTATATATATTATAATTATATATATATATTCAAAACAAACAATCAAATTCCATAACCAATTCTTAAACATACTCATCTGCAATCCGACGCTTGAGTGGGGGCGACTTAAGTCGTTGAAGTGTTCGAAAGCACCCGCTAAATCACTACAATTCACAGACATTACATCATTGTGCTGGCAAAAACTAGCAGCTGCTGGCACAAAGCACCCAAGGCTTGAGCACCGGCTCAGATTTCTGCACCCTGGTCGTGGCCAATTGGCTGTGGTTAGGCCAACATATCCCCATTTTCTGGCAACAAACTGAACCTGCATTAAAGTGATTTAAAGTGCACATCTAGGTGGTTTCCCTGTTGTCTCACAATGATTGCATCCAAAGCATCTCGAATTTCCTGCCCTTGAACTCCTGGCAACACAAATCAGGGAAGTTGGTCGACCATGGGTGACCGATCAACCGGGAACATATTCACAGCATGCTGGGTGTGAAAATGGGGCCCTCAAAGAGCAATCCTTGTACGGAATCGATGCTTAACCGATTCCCTAGATTCTCAGGCACCGATTTCCAAACAAACCCCGTAACCCCACATCACATAATCTATGCAGCGGGATGAGCAAATCACAGCTCACTACCATTAGCGCATCCAATTGCGAAGGGTCCGGGTTGTAGGGATGGTGGCCAACAACGGGGATGCTCCAAGCTGAAGCCCCTCGCAAAAAACAAAAAGGTCAAATTGTGGATCACTAAAAACAAAAACGAGCGGACATAAAGTATAAATAAAACACTAAAACACCAACATGCAAAAAAAATATATGGATGGAACATGATGGGCACAGGTGAACCGCTGCAACCTGACCCGGCCTCGAAAGTGCCATCTATGTGTCCCTGAAAGGTCCGGCGCCTTGGTTAAGGGATTTCGCAGGGGCTGGGAACAAATTGGAGACTTACCGGGCTTACCAAACCAAGTTAAACCAAGAATGAATGGATTCTGCATGGATTCCAAGCCAACTACCTTTGGGTCATAAACGTGCTGTTAAAGTTTTTTTTTTTTTGTGTGTCCTTTGGAACTACCCTCTGGCAGAAGGGCCACCAACAAAAATGGCCGACGTGGCATTTCAGGAGTTCAGGATGGCTTCATCCGGCCACAATCCCGACCCAGGGACTCCCCTTCGGACCACTGCAGCTGTCGAACATAAACACTTCCAGGTCCACAACCCTGATGCACTCCTGAAGGGTCACGGGAGTGAAGACACCCGTAATGAGATCCCATCAAAGTCCTTGACATCTCAGTAATCCCTATCTATCATCAAGGTTATCGCTTTTGGGGGGGGTATATCGGTTTCTAGTGCTTTGTGCAATTATCGCGTTTGCAGGAAACCCAAGCGCTTTACAGTGTTTCGTGTACATCTCTGACAAAAGTGCTTCTGTAATACTACAATGGTCTTCAACCATGTTGACTCACACAAATATGGATAAAACAAAAGAAGAAGGTACCAATGTACGTCAAAAGTTTGTTCTGTCAAATTGTCAAGAATTTAACAAAATTTAACCCTCCATACGATTTTGCTGTTGGTATATCGATAATAAGAGCCGATCCCAAATGTTGCAATATTGGCACAGGTGTGGATCAAGATCAAAACCATGGCACCCTGTTGAATACAAAAAACAACTTGGACATGCATGCTTATCCCTACAAACTACATGATGTATTACCTTTGCGTTCTTCCCACAGAGACTTTGTTTTTTCATGTGTCAGGTGACTCCTGCTATGGAAAATAAAGTGGTTCAG